CGTATACTTCCAGCCGGTAATCCCGATCGCTTTAATTACAGGAATCACGCGATTAATTATAGCAATTACCGCCGGTCCCTTAGGGCTGCCGGCATTCGAAAGTAAATATATCTCAATTGATGCCCCGGCTACTCTCTCTCCGGCTTGCACTTCCGACGTCGTCTTTGCGAGCATTCAAATTCCCGGGCCGCGGTGTACGTCGTCTCGCGGAAATTTCCCCCCGACGTTTTAACGCGTGTATCGGCCGACCTGATTTCGCCGGCCATGCCATTATTTTATTGCTATCGTGACCACCGACGGAAACGCGTGTCCGACGTGACCTGTGACCCATATTCGTTGCGTTTCTTTAAATATACGTGACGGTTGAAAGCTTTCCATTGAAGCTGACGTTGGAAAAGTTTCGCTTCGGGGCGAGCTGTCATCTCTTTTAAAGGCTAGTTGATAGGTTCAGCATACGGGGTGGTTGTAAAAAGACATCAAAAACATACGTTTAATTTAAAATACATGGCCTCACAATTAAAAATTAATGAATCACTCATTGGTAACACCAATCGAATTCATCACACCTCCCACACCCTTTCTCGAATGACATCTTCCGGCCTGTTGAAACATCACCAATTATCTCCGACCCGAAAAATCCAAAGATTGATACGATCATCGCGTGACAGTCTGTCACAACGATTCCAAAACCACAGCGACGTGTCGCAGGCATTCAGGAAACGCGACGACACACGTCTTCGACGTCGAACTATTCTTCTGTGGCGGCACTACTTCCTGCATTCGTCACTAGAAGTCTAGCGAGTTGACACCTTTCCCGCAACTACCTGAACCCTTCCTCGTTTGTATATACACATCCTTAACCGACCATCGAATATCCCCGCATCTAAGACAGAGTCTTCTAGGTAACCTTACTGACTAGTCCACTAACAGGCCCAGGACGGAAACGCTCTCTTTCCTTTTCACATTTTTCCAATCAACAGATTGCCGCCAAACTTCCATTTACCCCTGCCCACTGTCGCAGAAAACGTTGAGCGGTATCGTTTTCGATAAGCAACTTTATTGTTTGTCGAGGCTACGAAAGAGAAAAGAGGCGTGACGATCGAAGACGAATAAAAAAAAAAGAAGAAAGAAACACGAAGAAACGTTGAAAATTACAAGGATACCTTTTATCGATCGACGCAGTCATCTATAACTATTACGCCGCGTACTTAAAAGCGGGGGGGGGGGGGCATCCTATAATCAACCGGGCACACTTTTTCAAACTATTCTATCAACCTGTCCAAATTAGCAGTGGTACCGTGCGCTTCGGAGTTCCTAACAATCTTCTCACGGAAGCAGAACCTGGGGATATTTCTTGACCGGCGGTCATTACGCCGTCGGATCCAGGAGGGCCAACTGGATCCTTCTCTCTATCCACCTGTGCAGCCTCGTCTGCAGTACTCGGTCTCACCTCGCGCGCACCTATCCCGGGCCTAATTACAGGAATTATTTAATTAATTGCAGCAATTAACCGGGTCCGTATCAATATCCACGAATGCATACGTCACCGAGACGTATGGGTTAGGTTCTTCTTTTTAGCGGCAGGTTTCCCCCCTCTGGTCACCCCACGACGTGTGTTTCTCTCTTTTTTTTTCTGGGAGTGGGGGGCGGGCGCAGCAGGTTCTTTCTTCCTCGTGGAAGAAAAAGAAACTGAGGCCGACCGTAAAAATCATTAATAGAAAGGCTTACGGTGGTGGTTTCGTGGGTCCTGGCTGTGTGTGAGAAAACGACGAAATATGGAAAGGGGGGAAGGAGGACCGGAGAAGGGAAGGGGAGGTTGAGGAGGTCGAGAAAGGGGGTGTGGGCTACGGGCTCCCTTAAAGAGGAGAGCGTAAAGAGACCCACGCTGGAATTCTGGCGTGTAGCAAGAAATATAGGACAGCCGGGACCCCTGGATAAAAAAAAGGGGGTGGGTCCAGGGAACGATTCGCCACGGACCCTGGAGTTTATGTGTATGTGGTGCGTGCTTGGTCCCACTGGGGTCCCGTAGACACGGAGAGACCGACGCGCGTCTTCTCTCGATCGTTTATTGCTTCGGTATTACCGGTCTCACGGGACTGCGATCGGGATATCCTTTGCCGAAGACTTGACGATTAGGGGAGACCGGGGCAGATTGTGACGAAAAAAGTTTTCACAAGTTTTTCTCAAAAGTGTTTTCTTCAATCAGGAAATAATTTGCGGGACTTACTGCTCACGTCTTTGGTCAACTCATTGAGTGTAAATATGTGACAAAATCGTTGATACTTAGACGTCTATGTTCGTCTTAAACAAATCTGAACTTTTGTTACAATGTGCCCCAGCCCGGGGTAAATTGTAACACGTCTGTTTTATTTAGTTAAACACAAATATGAATACACACAAAAATGAAAGTGAAATTTGAACGTAAAAAATGCGACTACATAAGTAGGTAGTGATGGCAAAAAGAGTACACATCTGATGAACAGATATGCCAAGTTTGAATTAAATCGGTCAATTAGTTTTTAAGTTATCATGGCCGCCGATTAAGAAAATGTAGCTGCGAGAAAAACATTATCAAAGTTTCAAGTACTATTTTAGAGCATAAAAAGAGAAATGTTTCATACTTACAGCTAATCACCTATTTCGGGCCATATAAAACACCTTCCTGCTCCTCGAAAAATTGTTACAAATTGCAAAAAAGAAAAATCCGATTTTCTGAAACCGTCACACTAGCATAGCCCTTTAATGTGTCAATCAACCCCATCCCTCCTCCCCTTCCGTGAAATATACCGGTACAAACGGACCACATTCGATACACCGTGTAATAATAAAAATCATCGACTATTTAGCAATTCTGAATCTCCAGGACGCGTGATCAGCGCGCGAAACCATTAAAATAGCACTATCCCCGCGAGCGAGAGTTGCTCCGAAACGGATCGACCAACTCTCGTTTCGAATCTCTTTTTTCCCGTTCCCTCGGGACTTTACGACATTTTACGACAAAGAAACGAGACACGGCCAGAGAAGGAGCGGAGGGACAGGGGGGAGCGTGGAGGGTGGAAAGAGAAGGAGCGGACTAATGCGAAATTAACAAGTAGGACGCGTCCCGACGAAAAAAATCGACCGCCCGGTGGCCGGTGACCGCGGGACGCGCTTTTACCGCACCGAAGTAGGGTTTTAACTTTTTTATACCCTATCGGCGTACGTTAAAGTCCCGTCTCTTTAAAACCGCCGTATTTCTTTTATCGACGTTCGCGAGTCGCCCGGCTTAATGACAGGACCTGCGAGCATCGAAGCCAATAAACGTCTGTCCGTCTCACAACATTGACGTTACGTTTTGTTCTACGTTCGCGGAAGATGCCGCCGGTGACCCACGTGTTTCGACGATGGAAGGGATAAAGGAGATGAAATATAGATAGGAAAAGACTGCTCCAGGGATGAAACATATAGTTAAGCCTGGGCGTCCTGTGATCGAGTCATCGACGACCCGTCGCGGTAACCACTGTTATCGAAATTATACAGTTTATAACTTATTACAGTAGAGTCTTCTGATCACCCATTATCCGAACGTTCTGTTATCCGAACATTCTGCTATCCGAACGTTTCACTATCTGAACGTTCTGTTATCCGAACATTCTGCTATCCGAACGTGCTACTATCCGAACGTTTTGTTATCGGAACGTTCTACTATCTGAACACTGTGCTATCCGAAAGTTCGAATATGTACTATACATATCTGTATTATAAAGTACATATTATTCCCGAAAACACGTAGTCTCGGTTTTGACGTAAAAACATTTCGAAATACCTGAATTACGGATGACACATCGTCCGGTTATCGCAGCATTAGAGTGTTTATTATAGTAACGAATTGGCAAGAAATACGTGGTGTTTTGAGATGAAATAGATAAAAATTTTACACGAAATTTAATCGGACATTCTCAACTTCTCAACTTCGTCATACTTGGCAGCCCATTCTGACAAGCTGAAGAGGTCGCACAAGAATCAATCTCAATTTTAAAAGAAATTTTATTGCAAAACTAACGTACTGTATCTTGTATGAATTCAAGGAAAAGATCACTAGATCATAAATGCACAACGATATAGCGATTTGAAACGAACAGCATTGGAATTCGAGGGGTTAAACTCGAGATAACCCGTTCGTCTCGAGGAGAAAAGCGTGATTGGCGTTGTTACAGGCGCAACTGGTTACGTAACACCAGGAAAAAGAAAGCACCGTCGAGAAGCGGGAATCCGAGAGGAACTTGCGCCGGGAAACCGTGTGGAACGATTAATCACACGGGCCCCGCTCAAAAGCCCGTGGAGAGACGCGTGCGCTCATTATCCGGCTTTTCAACGCTGGATAAATCGAAAAACTCCCGTCGGTCCGAATGAAAATGAAAGGCTCAACGCGTTCCGCCTCGTAAGAAATGTGACTGCGGTGTAATTTATTCTAATATGAAAATAATGATGGAAGTTACACCTGTGCGGCGCGCGTCGTCTTCGGAAATTTTGCTGGCAGTGTAGACGGAAATTGAAGACTCGACGCGGTCTTCTTTGTAAGAGATGCGATTCTGACGTAATTTATCGTGATGTAAATGTAATGATGAGAACGATGCCTGTGTAGTGTATTATTTTTATTTTAGCTGTCGACGTTTTGTATTATATCTTGCTGATTGTGAATGAAGCTACAGTGAGTGATCATATTATTGGAGCCACAGTTCGATAAATATATTTTCATTCTGTTTATGTAGATATAAAATCATAATATCAAGGTTTTTACAGTAGACAATTTACAATTTAGAATTGTCCACTATAAATATGCAAAAAATTGAACTCTGCTAATGGAATTATGAGAATACAATTAAAATTGTAAAATCGTCAACTTATGCAGGTTTGTCTAAAAGTGTGTATATGTGTATACATCCTGCGAAATTGATAAATGTGTGACATGTTTCTCGATTATTTAACCATGGTGGTGTGTCGCTTCGGCCGTGTTGCAGGCGGTACGGAACGAAGTGCGGCGGTTGCCTCCAAGGGATCAGCCCGCAGGACCTCGTGAGGAAGGCGAGGGACAAGGTTTTCCACCTGAATTGCTTCACCTGCCTGGTGTGTCGGAAGCAGATGAGCACCGGAGAGGAGCTCTACGTCCTGGACGACAACAAGTTTGTCTGCAAGCAGGACTACCTGTCGGGCAAGCCGCTGCCGGACACGCATCACGTGCACGGTCATCATGGTGAGTTACAAGTGTCATTCTCCCTCTCGTTAACCACCGCTGGTTGGATAGGATATGCGTACACCGACGGGAGGAAAATGGACCAAATTTTCCTCCCCTTTCTTTCTGTCGTCCGAGAGGTCCGGGATTTGCGGTAGCGCTCTTCGTAGGATATCGATCGCCACCGGGGGCAATACCACCGAGAGTCCCTGGGATTTAAAACGATCGGTATTTTAAGCGGAGCAAACGGGCTCAGATGCTTGTCGACGAACCACGCGACGTCCCTCGGAACTCGTAACTACTTCGTAATTGATGTCGTGTTTTAATCGAGGCTTGGATACCGTGCATTCGAGGACAGCTTCCCTTGGGACTTTGGGTACTCTTGATGAAACGTATGCATCGTGGGCTCTCGTTAGGTGACTGTTTATAAGTGTATTTTGATGTTTGGTGGATTATAATTGGGAGAATTCGATCGTATGTGAATATAGTTGATCGTGGAATGCCGGGGGAATTTATTGGTGACATAGAGTCCCGAGTCCAGTGTGGGTTTAACTGCAAATAATACTTTTAATATTCAAGTTTGTTTTTTTCTTCTGAACACAGTATTTGTGTAATAATGTTAACAAAGTATTACAAAATTCTTTCATGATATTGAAATATAAATCGATGTATCACTTTATTTCTTTGGTTTTTTTTTTATTTACACCGTTTTCATAATCAACGGCACATTTAACTGTTCAAAGCAGAAATATAGAATTGAGAGGTTGTATAGAGTTCTCATTAATCGATGTCATTGACATCATACAGTGGGTGTTCAAATTATTGGAGCCATCTGCATGAATTGACAATTTTACCATTTTAACTGAATTTTTTATAATCACATAAACTAAATTTAATTTTTTTGTGTATAATTTTTAATTAATAATTATCCAGTGATATTGTCATTTTATATCTACGCAAATACAAAAAGTACATTTTTCGTATTTGGACTCCCATAAGTTGATCACCAGCTGTAGACGAATTAAGGTCTCTCACTTCATGTTTTTTTTTAACTGATCTTAGAAATCACTTAGAGTCCTAATTCTCTTTAAGTTCGATGATTTATCTGTTTCAATTGAACATCAATTGCTTTGAACTATTCAATGGTCATTGAAATACAGAAAAAGTGTCAATGATACAAATGATAATTAATCCTCCAAATATTGACGATTCTAGTAATTGCGTATATGACGAAGGCTCCATTTGGACCCGTAATTTTGTTTGCTTTTTTAAACACGTGAAACTAAATTATCAGTTTTCAATCAGTGTCACCAATTTTATTTATCTACAAAATTAAATATTGGTTTTCAAATAGGACTACTATGCAGTGGTATTCTTTACCAACGTCTGTATACACCCAGTATCGACTTTTGTTGTTTCCATTAACAGTCCTCAAAGTTCCACAAAATATAATCTTCCTTTGAAAAGTTCCATTGAATTGATAAAAACGATAGCTATAGATTACTACTGAACATCACGTTGGAATAAATTATAACACGGGTCGAAACTTATTTTTACGTATGGAATTATGTTAGCGTATGATACCACTATTTCTTACTTTGCAATATATAAATTAAATATTAATGTTACATTGTGGCGCCACGTATGCGTATAAAGCTGAGCAAAGTGCGTTTATATACTGGTTCTAAGGGTCTACTTCGGAGTAGCTTTATTCCTGCATCAATGCACCGCCTGCAGCGTTTCTAAGTGTCTTTGAAACACACCTGATAAACAGTTTCTAACGGTGTACTATCACTATGACGGTTGTTTGAATACCTTCGACCAACTATACCGACTGTCCTTTCTTGTTCGTGTCTATCTTGGGAGTACGAAAGACTCGCAAGATGTAAGATTTCATGAATGTGGCAAATCGAGCCGAACGATTATTATGAGTACCCCTAATAATAATCATCAAAGCTGTCTCTCGAAGTTGAACCGAATAATTCCAGCGACGCGTTGGAACATAAACTCGACGACACGTCAGGATTTTCATTTTTTTCTTTTTTTTCGAAACAACGGGGCTGGGTTAGAGGAGTCGGAGGGGGATCACAGTTGAACGCGTCTGACGCCCGAGATTTCACGGAGTCAGGGGCTCGTTCGAAAAAAGCGAGGGACAGGGAGGGGGGTGGGTTTTTCACTAGGGGTTTTAGCCCACTCGAACGGCAAGCTGTGAAAACACCGTGCGTGTACTCGCTTCGCGCCCGTCAGCCACCGGTCTAACGAGAAAAAGAGAGAAATGAAGAGAGAGAAAGGGAGACAGAGAAAAAGGGAGGCGAGCAGCTCGGTTTCACGAGGGCCTCGCTGGTGTGTAAGCCGTGAAACGAAAACCGAAAGGTCGTTAGGCAGGGGCGAACCTTTTGTCGCTTCGATGCCGACGTCGAAACCGCAAAACGTCCCGTTTCTTTTTCCTTTTCTCCCGGCGGGGCGCGCGAACTCGAGGCGTTCGTCTTCTTACTGACGCGAGCTACACGCGCGTCAGGCTCGTCGCGGGCCGAGGTATAGAGGCGTCATAATCGTGTTGGCGTCACGATATGGCATGGGCTCGCGGCTGTCGTTGGGGAAACATTGCGCTCTGGTGGAAACGGAGGATCGTCGGGGAATGGAAGATTCCTTTTTTGATGATTTTTCGAGTTTTAATGGGGTAACGATGGATGAGCCTATTTTGCGAGAAATTGAAAATCAACGTCTGGTTATGAATGACGCGGAACTGTGATAAGTGTTTGTTGAGAGGTGCTCAGACTTTGGACCGAATATGTTTCAGAAATCGAAGCTGATATTTTGGTTTATGTACAGTGTTGGTTAAATGATTGGAATTATTTGAGGAGTTTTAGTACAAGTACAGTGGATAATCTAGTTTTTTTGGATTATAATTCATTATTTTTTGCAATCATTATTGAGACTTTTGAATTTTCACTTTTCAATAAACCTTCCTGTACTGTTTTAAAAATTGTTGTATTTCTATTTCGTGAATTAATATTGGTCTTAAGGTAAAATTAAATTACCCAAATATACTTGTAAATGTCACTTGATTATTATATGTAAACTATTGGTGTCAAATAATTTACAAGTTTCTCTGATAAAAAGTATAATTTAGTAGTTAAACTCTGAGTTTGGATGACAATTTATCCGAAGAGTGCGCGAGGATTAATAAGGGCATTACTTACAACCTAAAAGGAACTTCTCTTTACTTCAAATTTCATCAAATCAATCCATATAAATCTATATTTGATAAATCATTGATCACCTTACGCTTCGTATATCAGTCTCAACATCTTTTGAAACTGTAACGATCAGTCTTCGTATTTTTAAAATATTTTAAATTTAAATATCCGTACAACTTTCATGATTTACCGCACATTCAAACTGGACGTAAATACTCTAAGTGTGGCGCTGGCGCTGAAAACGCGTTAACCCTAATCCTCTTCAAAAATCTTCAAACTATGATCTATCCTTGTCAATAGCAGCATCAATATCAGTCTAAACACCTTCGAATCTAGTATATACGAGGCTAATTACGGTACCGACAAAACGTCAATAATCCACTCCAAGAAGTCACGATTCGCACCCGGAAGATTGACTGCGTTCTCCGTAAGAACGTCGCGCAAATGTCTCTGGAACGTCTCTGGAACGTCTCGAGCTAAAAATGCGCGCACGTCGGGCACGACGAATCGCCGTATCCGATGATCAAACATCGTGACGTCTGGATGTGCCGCGCGCGTTTCCGACATTAATCTCTATCACCCAGCCGGCCATTTGTCAGTTGTCGAATTCGCGGTGATCGTCTGCGGCGCGCGTGAAAAGCGCAGCAATTACGCGCCGCGGTGGTCGATTAATCAGGAACGTTTATCGATAACTTTTACCCCGTCTTTTGTCGCCGAACAACGATGGAAACTGCGACACGACAGACAAACCCCCTCCAAAATTTCGCGACTTTTCGCGAAATAATCCGCGGAATCGACGCCCAATTCAAAAGCGAATAATTGTAATCACGTTTAATTGGTGATTTCGCGTGGAGCATCGACAAATTTACTCGCGCCGCGTTGATAAATGATGTTCCGCCGGTTTACTATGGCGATTTAGGGCTTTTGTCTGTCTAAACTTGACATTGATTGACGTTATTTTGCAAGGGGGGGGGGGATGAATTTTGTGACGATACTTTGCTGATAATATTGTCGTAATAGTTAATTTTTGGAGTATTGTCTCGGTGTTATTGGGGGCGGATGGAAATATGAATTTTGTTCCTTGTTTAAGCGTAGGATACAGGAACAAATGAATGCTTCGTTATTAGATTATTAGAATGCGGATCTGATGCATTTATGGCATACGGTATTGTTTGGAATTCAGAAGAGTATGAAGTTAATGGGGTTTTGATTTTATTTAGTGGATGACAGAATTGAAGAGTACAAGTGAGATAGGATTAGTGTTCACTTTTGGTTGTTACGATATTTCCATACATATGAGTGTATTTTCTATTGTAGAATTCATTATTGTATTTAGCTATTCTAACCTATTGCCATTTAAATCACCATCTATTTTCCTAGATATGTACAAAAATATGTTCATGAATTTGCTTCAAATATTTATAATACCAGTATGATATCGTTATGTCAAGTAAAAATGTTAGTAGCTTTAACAGTTACAAAAAATGTACGAGGTTGAATAGTGAGTTATTGTCCAAATAATGAATTGAGTAAATAATATCTACTAATGATGCACGAATATTTGATGGATCAGTATTACTTAAAAAGTTGTCAAAAAGAAACATGGTAGATACTCACGACTCGACCTTGAATACCCCAAGACTTCGTATTCTTTTCAGAAGAATTACATATACATATCCTAAGAGACAATCGAATCAATGAATTCGGAAGAAATCTCATTTCCCCCTGAATTTCCCTTCATTCTAAGTACACACATATCTTCAAAAGATCAACCGTGAATCGGCCATTTTTTTCGCTATAAACAAAAAAAAAGAAATGGTCGAATCGCGTTTAATTCGTAAACGAATCCATATCATTGAACAGAAAAGTGACTGGCGATCTTTTCGAACTCAATGATTCGATGATTGACGTGATTATAAACGCGACGGTTCGAATCGTTTTACGAGCAGAATCGTCCAACCTGTCGGCAGGAGGCGACTCGCTGATGGGTTCAGGATCGGAGGACGAGGACGAGGACGGTAGTGCACACCATCATCACAGTGGTGTCGGTGGCCCTCACCTGGGGCCTCATAATCTGGGCCCGGGTGGTCCTGGTGACCAGACGGTTGGCCATACTGGCGATCTACCTCTTGGAAACGATCCCTGCAAGCAGGAGGACTCGGAGGATCAAGGTAAGCTCACACGGTTTCATCTATTGGAAAATTTCTTTTACGGGGGATTACGGCCCTCTATACAATATTTCGTCAATTCTATAGAGTGAGATGTAAGTGATAGGATGGAGTCAGAATGGGTATGCTTCGTCTTTTTCAGGCGTTCTACCTGCAAATCGTAATGAATTATTATTTTATTATAGAATTTAGGTTCCGATACTTGTTAATGAAAGATAGCAATGAACTACCCTCATGTTGAGATCGTTTGTTTGATTGAAATAAGCTTAAGGTTAATTATTTATCTAAAGTGCACATATTTTTTGTAATTGGAACATTGGTTCTAAGTTTCGGTGACTGGCCCTTAGAGAGACCTGTTTCACTTTTATAAATCGATCATACCGTTAGATCGTTCATTTCCAAATACTGATATTCTTCTATATTACACTTTAGGAACGGTTCTATTTTTGTTCTAAAATCTACTAATTAATTCTGAATTAACTACAAAAGAAGAAAATCACTTGTATTAATATTTTAATTTAGAGTATATTAGATAACGTCTACGTGAAAATTTGAATACCTAATCTATTTACCATTTCTACTTCCTAGAAAATTGTTGAACAGCCACAAACAATACACTGAATTTATGAAACATCTATTAACAACTTTGCTGGTCACAACTTTCATTTTTCTTCCCAAAGAAACTATTTGCACGTCTGTTATTCATATTAGACCTACAAGTTTCTAGTTTTGTATTGCATCTTCCAACTACTCACAGTTACCTGTTACACTAGAAATCGAGTGTCTAGTTAGTCAAATAACTTCCAATCAGCTTTATCTAACCCAAGAGAGAAAGCTTGAAGATGGCCCAGAGAATCGTCCATGGAGGGACAAACTCGATATCCAAAGGACGATTGACTGGGACCGCCTAACGACTTAATCGAGCCGAGTCTCGCCCCCTTCGCGTGGCCCTCGAGCGAGGGAGGAAATTCAGTGGCTTGACCTGGAACGTCGCTACGAATTACTAAGCGCGTCAGGCCTTCCTATGGCCTATTATTCGCTTCTGCTCTTTTATCTGGACTAAGGGCAACAATGGCTCCCCTCGTTTTTACCTCTTCTCGATGCACGCTATACACTCAATATTTCTCCTTTTAAAATTGTTATATTCAACCACTCATACCAATCCATCATCTATTTAACCAGTTCGCTGTTCTTTTGTCTCCTACTCAAATTCATCTCATCTATGTTTATTTCGAAATTCGTGAATTAATTTTTTAAATACCTGTATTAAATGAAAATAACTTTAATTGATATTTTTAACCCATTCGCAGCTGGAAATTATAAAGAACTCTTAAACCCTCTGTGCCACGTTCAATAACTAAAATTTTCTAATCATGTATCATTAGAAAAAGACCATTCAATATTACCACCAATACGCTCTCTCGATAGATTCTAACGTTGCAATTTCTCAAGAAATGAAAACGAAACACTAATATAATCAAGCACACTTAAGAAATTCCCTCGTACACTTCCTAACGATTACGACAAATATTTCACCCCCAAGGTCTGAAGTGCGTCAGGTTTTCCAGGTCTACAATTCGCTTTTGCTTTCTTTTTTATCGGGACAAAGGGCAACAATGACCCCCACTTTTCGTACAGCTCGATGCACGGTACACACCCGGTACAAGCATCTCCTCTGTGTCCGGCGGGAGAGGTAAAAGAGGGGTGTCTTCGCGAAGGGTGGCCCCCGTAGAGCGCGGTGTGACACTGTCCAAACATTTTCTTTGTCCCGTGGTTAAGACCTCCCCGTATAGATTATCGTGAAGAGTTGGGCCCCCATTCTACGTGTGTGTATGTGTGTTCGTGGCTGCGTGCCCGTTTGTAACATTGTACGGATAGACACACACATAGAGGGCTCATGGAGTATAGCTTTCAACCGAAGAGCAGCCACGATAATCCGATGGGGGTTTCGCATCGCTTCCGGGGGATTGGCTCCGATTGTTGTTACCTCGATCCGGCCGATCGAGATTCCGAGATATGTATATTATGTACGCGAACGTGTATACGTTATTAAGAAACCGTTCGCCGAAAAGTGTTATTGTTTGTTCAGCCGATAACTCCTAGCCACGGTAGGAAATCCACTTACGGAGGGGCGTGGAGGATTGTTTAAAACCTGCCATGGGTTACTTTCAATCTCTTCTTTTTCCAATTGCAACCGAAACTACGGTTCTTTGATTATTCTTCTGTTTCATTTTTCACCTGGCAGATAGGAAAAAATACGGTCTCTAAAATTAGTTTCCAGGTTGCAATGACACATTTTTCATTCTAAATGTTAAGGTACTATTATCTATACGAACAATAATATACAATACTTCATCAAAAGACGATATCCCTCGTAAATAATCATATTTTTCCAAGCTCTTTCTAGTTACATCACGTAGTCGTCAAAATCATAAAAAAAAAGTCATCAAATAAACGTAATCGTCAAAATCCAATCAGTTACGAGGACAGAATCTTAAAGGGCCAAGTACACATCCTTTCCAGCATTCATTCGAATCGAAACGATAGCATAATGATTTATTTTCGCCAGACGAGCAGTCGGTAGTTCGTAGCTAATTCTTTCGAACAGGGGTTGGAGGGAGAAGGGAGCGTTGACGCGCGGCGATCGATCATTAAACGGGTTCGTTTGCGTTCCTCCTAAGGTTCCCTGGACGGAGATCCCGAGACGAGGGACAGCCAAACGGAGAACAAAAGTCCGGACGGCGGGGCTGGCGGTGGTAGCGGCGACGGCGGTGCCGGCTCGAAGAGGCGAGGCCCGAGAACGACCATAAAGGCGAAACAGTTGGAGATTCTGAAGTCGGCCTTTTCGTCGACTCCGAAACCCACCAGGCACATCAGGGAACAGTTGGCGAAAGAGACTGGCCTGCCCATGAGAGTGATACAGGTTCATATTGTTCCCTTGTTTCTTCCTAGTTTTACCGCGGATCGGCTATTGGGAAATCGTTTCGAATGGAGTGGCCACGGTAGTGACGTATAAACCTCGAGTCTTCGAAGGTATATACGTTTGATAAAACACAACTTTCCTATACGTAATATTGTCACATTTCATTCTCAAACCGCGGACTATTGATTTAAATACTGCAGATGTTATAATCGCTCGTGGTATTGATAATATTATTTAAAATGATTAGGCTAATATCATACGAAGCTCAAGGCTTTTATGTTTAATACGTCACTGCCGAGCGTGTTCTGCTGGTTTCATTTTCAGGGCCAGAGTGATTGCCTATTAGAATCATATGATAATATATTACACAATATGATTATATGTATTGTGCAAAAGTATCATGCGTAGTAGTATGTTTATTCGTGAACTTTTGGCAGCCGCTGTATGTATATTCTTAATAGCAAGGATTTAAACAGACACTTTGTAATGATATTGTTCCAATAGTACAAATGTGGGTAGTGTTAATGCATTGACTGCTATACTGGTGACCGGTGATCAGAGCCATTAAATTATATGAACAAATATTCAGTTTCTAAACGAGAGCATTTAGTATCTCGTAAATATGAGCAGTAAAGTAATAATGAAAGTAATAAGTGGTGAAGTTAACCTATGAACATTTATATCGTTAATAGCAAAGACAGAAATAATTGTATCTTATTACGATATTGTCTTAAGAGGAAAAACTGTACCCGTCATCGTATTAATGAATTGAGAACCTGACAGATTTATCTAAATTATTACACGATTCTTATAAAGTATTTATGACAGCGTAATATGACGTTGTAACAAAAATCATTATCAAAAACTTATAAAAAAACGTATCGAAAGATCGCAGAAGACCTCCAGAGAGTAAATATAACACATTGTCTAGTCATTCACACAAACTCAAACCCATTTCAAATCCAGAGTAGGTATACTGTCGTAAAATGACGTTATTTCACCGCCAGCCCAACAGATTCATCTCTACTTCCATACTCTCCGTATTTAAATCATAAACTAGACATCTAACCATTGTACACACACCATATTCACAGTTTACCGTCTAACCTTCCCCTCCGAGGAAAAGTTAGACAGCGTATCCATCTACCAACCGTTGCGAATCGAACATATATACAGGGTGTCCCACGCAACTGGAACAGGCTGTACCTCCTAAATGTAAAATGGTATAAGTAAAAGTTAAATGGTATCAGCCGGTGCATAATATGCAACTAATTTTATGCACTTTTTTGCATCGGTGCATCAGAAAAATGCAACTGCACTTTTTTTAAAAATGGAAACCTATTCGTTAGGAAGTTATCGAAGCTAAAAGTGCTTTGAATTATTTCGGTCTCTCGGCAAGTGTTCCGGCGTACCTACGTTATGTTCCATTACAATGTTTGTAAATATAAAGCTCCGATAACTTCCTAACGAATAAGTTTATGGCATAAGTATGTTAATACTTTTATGTAGAGCATAAGAAACTGCATTGACTGGCGCAGTCGAAAACATAGGTTTCTATTTAAAAAAAAAGTGCAGTTGCATTTTTCTGATGCACCGTTGCACAAAAGTACATAAAATTAGTTGCATATTATGCACCGTCTGATCCCATCTAACTTTTACTCATAACATTTTTTTCTATTCCCAACCGTTTAGGAGGTACAGCCTGTTCCAGTTGCGTGGGACACCCTGTATACATATGATGATCGGTGGTTTGCGTCCGTTATGCGCAGGTCTGGTTCCAAAACAAGAGGAGCAAGGAGCGCAGGTTAAAGCAGCTGACGTCCATGGGCAGAAGCCCGTTCTTCGGCGGTTCCAGAAAAATGAGGGGCTTCCCATTGAACCTGAATCCCGGTGCTCTGGGCGGCGAGGACGGACCGCCGCCTGGCTTTCCATATTTCGGCGCGGAGAAGTTCGAATTCGGTTACGGCGGGCCCGTGGCGTTTCATCATGAATTCTTCGGTGCTCATCCGCCCCCTCATCCGCACGGACCACCCTTCAGCGGGCCGGGCAATCCAGGTGAGTGTTGGTATTCCGTCTGAACGGAACACGTTCCGATCTGTTTTCCGTTCTACTTTTCGCTGCTATCGTTCCATCGTTTCGTCCTCCGGGAACCCCAGAACTGAGAGTGTTTATTCGGTTTGAATGTTGAATTTACAAGGGAAGTTCGGTAACCCGAAAAATCCGATTTTTTTTAAACTTTGCAGGTTTGTAGGGAACCTCAAGGGAAGTATAGCGAAATTTTTGTTTTTGGCCCAGTTTCAGTTCTTCAGGGTGAAAACATCCCTTGAAGGTAGATAGGTGTTTCCATATTTCCCTGTATATCTTTAAAACTATCGTAAATATAAACAAATTATTATAATAAAAATTGAATGGTTTTTTATGCTCTATAAAACGATGCCATTAAATTGATAAAAATCTTGATCCCCCCCCACTTTTATTAATTATCTCTTTATTACTATTCCTGTAACTAAACGCTAACGTCTTAGTACGACAGTAATGGTGTTTTAGAACTATTTACATTGAATTATCTCCTGAACTACTAACTTTTCGATATACATAGGTTAGTACTGTATGTATTAAAAAATACCTTATTCCATTTAAAAAAAACAAAGTTGACCTTCATATGACCTTCACGCGTCCACTCACGAACAAACTAATAACATCAGAATATGCTCCACTCGATATCATTCAAGCCTCCGCTAAAACATTTTTGTTACGAGTAACAATAGCGAGAAAATCAACATGTCAAAATCGGGTGAGACATCCTGTATAACATTATTCCATCGAAACCACGAGAAACAGGTCACACGTGACCCAGCCTACCAGTCCCGTTCGAGGGGTTAAAGTGGCGATCGATCTCTCGTATCGTCGCAACGTTGCTGCTTTCAGGACAATCGTGTCCAGCGAACGTTGCTTGTAAAGGGCAATAGGTGTCCCACGTTACCTCGGGGGTAAAATCAGCGGGCAATCCCACTCGTAGCCCGGAATCGAGACAGTCCTCTTCCTCCCCCAATCCCCTTCACGCCATCGTTTGGATTCCATCGCGACTATAATAAACATCGCGGCGGGTAGGTAGGTCGCGATAATTATGACAGCCGGGTTCGGAGATAGCCGGCCGGATACGATCCTCTCTGAATAGTACGTAATCTGTTCCTGACAGGCTTGGACCCGGCGAGTTTAGCGGGGATGGCGGCCGCAGTGGCGGTGACAGGGGAATACCCACCTCCAGGCGCGGGAGGCGGCCCTCCGGAATTTCTCACGGGCCCCCCTGGACAGGGGCCCCCTGCACCCCCTGGCGGTAGCCCAGGCGAGTTCCTAGCACCTTCAGGTACGTGGCAGAAGAGTATACGTTTGAAAGGCTATACTTAACCGAGCCAGCGTAAAATCTATTTTCGTGGTTCCGGATGGGGAAACGATGTTTCGTTCTGTTTCGTTTTGTTTTGTTTTTATTCACGGGCTCGTTATAGACCATTGAGGAATCGATGTTATGGGTTTCGATGGGTGTAGATGAGGGTGGTGGAAAATTGTTCGTGTGTGGTATTAAAAAATGATAAATTTTGATGAAACTTCGTATGTCTGTTAAGCAGTCAAAAATAAGGGAATTTATTTTTTTTATCGGCTGAGACGCGACTTTAAGGGGTGAAACCACCCCTCGAAGTTTCGATCCGAAAGTACTATCTCGAAAACCAGAGGAGATACATGAAAACTTCTAATGGACGAGGTTTACGGTTTTTTTATGTAGAATAATATGGTGCTAACAAATTGTCCAAAATATAATTTGTTTATAACAAAAAATTTTCAGATCGAAACTTCGAGGGGATAACAAAAAATACGTATCCCTTATTTTTGATTGCTTAACAGACATACGAAGTTTCATCAACATCGGAGGATGACACTTCTGTGCCTTTCCTTGTTAGTGTTGCTGCTTTATGCTGTTATATGCAGTGGTATATATCTGTGTACACGGTTTTCCAGTGATCGTATTATTATTCTACCTGTAATTTAGCTTCCGGAATTTGACAGGAGTTTCTCTAATCCTCTGTGGAGTATATTGCTTCGCCTCATTCAATAACTACTAGTGCTGTCCTCGGAGTGTCGCTCGCGGGTTATTAATACTCATTGTCAGTATAACTCATTGATACCATTGTAGTTTCCAGCTGTAGAATAATGAAATATAGATACACAGTTGTACTTCTTTCAGTATGAAGTTAAAAGATTAATTTACAGGTGGAATAAGTGTATTGAACGATAAGGATCATATTCTACTGCAAATATTTATCACGTTAAACAAATCTGCTTATTGTTAGTGTCTATAAATTGCTTAGCTACTTAATCGTTAAAGCGACTGGTTTCCGATTTATTTCAGTCCAGGTGAAATTTTATCTATATCTAGCAGTGTACATTGAAAAATGTGGAATAAGGAAATTCTCTCTATTGAACATTTACATCATCATACAAAATCCAGGAAGCAATCATTCAAACTTCAAACAATTGGAACCATTATATTGAATTATAAAAAAATGAGGATAACTCAACCAAAGATCCTTCCAACTAATTACATTCATCTGAAACAATCGCCTAGTAGATTTACCGTCGAAACAAACAGCTTTCCATATCCTCAGTACCGAGATAATAACCACCACGAGCAGCTTCCATTCACAATACCACACCGCGACAAACCGATCAATGAAAACACCAGTCGATTCAAGCGCAACGATCCGCCATTAACCGTTCTGCTCTTCATGTTATTCCCCGAAACGTACAACCCTATCGATAGCGAAAGCGTTAAAACAATCTCCCAATTGGCTCAGTTGAACAATACCACCACGGATGAACAGTTTCAACCAGAGTTGGGCAGAATTTTATTTAAATAATATGTATTATTATTAAATATTATGTATATTATTTAAATAATATGTATATTATTATTAAATAATAATTGAGGAATTTGCCCATCTCTGGTTTCAATGGCCCCAACGGTTAAAGATATCCGGGGCGTCGTCGAAGGTGTTTTCGATCGTTTCGCAGTATCCCACGATCCCCGCGATCAGATCGTTTCTACGAACGGTAATACCGACAACGGTATGGTCTTTTGGTGTTTCTCAGGTGGAGCACAGGGTAACCCCAGCGCCGGCGGTAATGGCGGCGGTCCAGGTGGCGGAGGCAGCGGGGGTGGTTTCCTGGAGCCGCACCAGATGCAGAGCGAGGGTCTGGCCTGGTAGTACCAGTTTTAATTGGCGTTGATTTAAAACGAAATTCCGTTGCGTTCCGTCGCCGTTTTTTAATATCGATCCTCGGGTCACGGGCGCGAGACGATCGTGCCCTGGGGTACACAACACGAGGCGATAACCAGACGGACGACGGGGAGGCCTTCCGACTTTGTTCCGGTTCCTCGAGAGACTTTTGTCCGCGGCGAGAGGCAAAGGTACCCATCGACGCCGGGTCAACCTTGCATCCTGTAACCGTTACGTTTTTCTTCTTTTGTAAGATACATATGAAATACGATTAAGACGATCGAACGTTCTGAATCCTCTGTTTCAATCACGGTTATCATTGTCATTATTAACATTATTATCTTTATTATTATTTCTATTATTATTATTATTATATGGTCGTCGGCGAACGTCCGTAATTATTATTATTATTATTAAAGGAGAATTATTAAAATATTATTATTATTATTATTGTGTATAAAATTTCGAATGGTCCTATCGTGTAATATTATACCCTCCCTGTTGATTACTTTTCGACGTTATTTTAAGGAACACCCTGTAGATATCTGCTGTTATACACTCGAGAATCGTACATACACATACATACAGATACGAATACACGTGAACGCGGTATGACATATAAACAGAGACTCGGGACACGCATTATACTGAGCGTACACGCGGGGTGTACGTGCATCACTGTCACATACACGCGCTGTAACAGTTAAAAGACGCTGTATTAATTATCATTGAAGTATAATACCGCGCGCGCGAGCGAACTCGTTTAGTAGCTGGACTCTATCACCGAATTAACCGTCTGTAATTGTAACTGCAACGCAAAGGAAACACGCGAGGGAGACACGCCGCCGCGATGCATAATGATTATAAATATTATTATAATAAACCACCTCGTATTTCCGTATATCTACCTGTGTGCAGTCATTTTCACACCTGTTCGTCGTTCTAGCATGACGCTGATTTGGTGCTCTTTCTGTTCGTTAAGTGTCAGCGAAAGATTCGAGCATCGTGGAGTTGGAGAATTCAACGAAATCGTAAGTACATTTTTAGTATGCCTCATATACTAGTGCTCATAGAAAGGTTGTCTCATTTTCATTTTATATTTCATGTTGGGGATTTTTGATAAATGATCATGGATTTTGCTGGCCTGATAAATACCAGAACAAAAGTAGGAATTCATTTCTACCCCTAAGTACCCTATTGGTTCAGGATAAAATAGAAAACTCAATATTTCGGCATAAAGTTTTGTTTCTTACTGTATTCCACAGAGTTCTCTAGTCTAAAAATTTATAAAATCTGCATTCTAATAACAACCATACAAAATCCACGGTAAACGTACCAAAGAAGCGATACACAGCCCAATTATTCAAAGAATCATCCCCTTTAGCAGGTTCAACCGGGAGAGCGTGTCATTCCCCACCGAAATCACGGTTTCTTTCGCTGTTCCCAACGGGGCAAACACCTGAGACTATCGGCGGTGACGGTCCGAATCCTTTTCGACCCCTAAATGTTGTCCACAAACGCATCTGCGCCTTGGGGGTGGTTGCGTGCCCTAACGTCGTTAGCGGGTGCAACGTCGTTTTCCTGGAGGAAAAGGGGGCGGGGGAGAAGACTCGGGGAACCGGGAGATTCGTTTTCCTGGACATCTGGTGAATTCGATTTTGATGTGTTTCTGCCCTCCGGGGGTTGAACGGTTCTTCGGGGCTCTTCGTATCCCTGACAGTCCCGCTGGGGACAGAAACGATGCTGCCGCTGCTACATCCCCGCATGTATCGCGTACAAGCCTGTGTACATACACGCTATCGACCCCCCTGCGACCTCTCGCACGACAGTGTTTCTCCCTTTCTCACTCTGCAGCAATAGCTATACAGGGTGGACCACGAATCGTGATCAGTAGAGATTGCTCTGTTATTAGCAGCCCGATCGAAAATGCTTTTGTCAGGTATAGCATGGTTTCAAGAGAGCTTTAACGTGATTATAGCAAATCTTTTGTCAACTCTTTTTTTTCCTGATTTTTCAAGGTCACCTTCAATTTTTTGCAAATACACCTATAATTGTTTTACGCCTAATACATGTTATGTTATGATACTTATCGAATTCGTCTTGAAATCCTCTAACAGATAGGATTGTATTGGAACTGAAATGTTCCAAAAAATATACTCCACCTAGCCTGTGGATGTTCATGTGTTCCGTCGTAGACCGAAACGACGGTTATAGAATCAGACGATACCGTTACTTTTTATTATTTTATTCCTTCTTTCAGTCAATTTATATATTTTCAAGAACCCTTGCAATTTCGATTTCGTTGACAAAGGGAATCAGAGACAAAAGAAGCGAACATTTGGTCTGCAGTCCGCCACATGCGCTCGGTAACCTGGGACCCATCCGCGCCGGGCCTTACCGGGGCGCGCTGACTCGCAGACAATATAGTCATAAAACCCTACCGTTGAGAGACACGAAAATTCGTCGCGGTCAACTCGCACCGCGAGCACGTGCGCGATATTTTCCTGACGTCCGCTTCGCCCTGAAGGAGAGGTATTCCACCTCCACCTCGCTTGGAAAAACCGAGAAATTTGCCTTCCCCTTCAGGGCATAACCAATAAGGAAGCGAGTTTTGGTAACGCCTTCAGCAAACTTCGAGGAAGCGCGACGTCACACGAAAGTCGAAAAGATTCATACAGTCGAAAACATTCATTAGAAACCACTCGTTCGCAAACGTGCAGTCGCAAAACACACTCGTTCGACAAGGGTCACACGGACTCAAGACATTCACGTACTCGTATCGACAAGAGTCAAACGGACTCATTCATTCGACAACAATCTTTCGAAAACTCGCACTCGTTACGACAAGAGTCGCACGGACTCAATTCATTCGACAACATTCGCATCACGATTCGTCAGCTCCAACGGTCGAGCAATCATTAGTTTTTCTCACTAGAGAATATTGAATCAGTTGCCTGATATTAATTTGGCGGGCAACAGTTCGCAATCGGACGCGTACCACGACGGTCGAGCCTGGAATTTACAACTCCAGGCGGATTCGAAAGAGAAATCCACGCGGACGGACGCGACATCATGCAAATATACATTTTCTTTGGAATTCAAGAAAAGTTCGTTTACCATATCAAAGGTTTTATCAAGTTTCCAATAATATAAAACTTCTATTGCCTGTTACATTTAGTCATATTGATTTCCCCATAATAGTGTATCAGTCTATCTAATTTATCTCCACTTTACAATATCAGCGTTTCTATAGAAAAAACATGGGACAAAATTAAATTCCATTTCGACCAACCCCAACTCTGCACACTTCCCACCAGCATAGAAACAATCTCAAAACATTTACGAACGTGTCCCAGGTCATATCCGTATTGAGTAACTCGAACTACAACACGAGACACAGGGTCAAGCTGTTCAAACGACAGGATCATTCTGAAGCACAGTGCAACATACTGGCCGTAGGTACGCGACGGGACGCGCGTAATATAAAATGGAACAGACGTTTGGAAGTTAACGAGTGGCTCGACGATCGTTTATTTTTTTTTTTTCGCATTCTTCAAAACGTCCTCTAAACCTCTTCATCGTGCCCCGATCCCAGGCTGGATCTCGCGGGAGTTTAACGCGGGAATTTAACTGGATCGAGTGCCGGCCACCGTGTGCATGTGTGTACATTGTAACAGCGATTGGCAAGGGCGTAGGGCGTCAGCGTAGCGTGTAATGCGTGTCCTGACGGATCTCTTGCAGAAGATCCACCGGGAGATTCGACAGATGCGTGCCCGCCTCCGCGCCCCAGGAACTACCGCGGGGGTCCCGCGGGAGTCTTGCAGAGACAAACCGTCCCAGCGGGTACGTGTACAACCCCACTGTATCGTTTTTGTTACCCTCTAGTTAAGGAGGAGGGAATTCTTGAGCGAGTTACCCCATACGATTGCCCTGGAAATGTTTTATAATTCGATAGATGATGCCAGACGTGGATATCCTTGTGTAATTCACCCCTTTAAGTGTAACGATCGCGTTGAAAGTAATTTAAATTTTGAGGAAGGGTTGACAATTTCTGTGGAATTTATGTCCTGTTCGATGCTGATTGTAATTGGAAATGTTTAGTGAGATTCAATGTTGACGATGGTTTAGAAGTTCTTGGAAAATTCACCACCCTCTTTGTCGGTCGGTGATACAAATAAATGAACTTGGTAGTATACCCAACAGAAGACTTAAATGAAATCATCCTTTAGATATAATAGATTATATTGTGCTCCTACATGCTAGTTACTTACACCACCTAAACAACCTATAGTTACGATACAAATGAAATTTATTACCATTAGTTCAACAACAATTCGGAAACCCTATTCCATTTCAAGGGCCACTTGCACCAAAAATATTCAATTTCTTGCATCACAACAGAGATCTGCAAGTTCTCCTACTTTAATTTTCATTTATTTAGTTATTTAACGGGTATAAATCCAGTATACATACATAAGAATTAATGAAAATAAAATTAGAAACAGTTACATCAATATACCTGTTATACAGTATAGAATCAGTCGCGATAGGAAATTTTTAATAAAATATTAACTAATATTAAAAAGTTCTTGGTGCTAAAAAAATACTTCGAATTTCCACTGCAACACAAACAAAATTTTTTAAAAGATTCACATATTATCTCTTCCATTTCAATCATTAAAAAGCAATTACAATTTCCTTATTGACAAAGGTGTGGATTCTCTCTGAACTGTTTCGTAAAGTTGCGGCTCCCGTTAGGTCTTAAAGGGACTCGAGGGGATCAATTATTCATGAGCGTTAAATTTTTGGAAAGGACGTGATACGTTTAGAGGCAGGGAGCCGAGAAGAAGGGGGCTCGCAAGACGCGCAGGGGCTGTGGATGCGTGTCACAGTCGAGAGAACGTTCCCCGGGCCGGTCACGTGTCCGAGCACGTGGCGGTGAACACAAGCCCCTGTCGCGGAAACCCTTCGTCCTTCTTCTGACATTA